GCGGCGGAGGTACTGCAGGCACGGGCTCCGGGCCCCACCGGGCTCAGTGCATGCTCATCCCCGCGTGCGGATGGTGGGCCGCCGGGACGGAGGTTGCGTGATGATGAGGATGGTGCATTAGAGGCGGGAGATGCGGGTGGTGGGGATGGTGTGGGGTCAGAGGCGGCGGGGTCATCTGTATTGGAGTCATGGGGGTTGTCGGCTGATGGCCGAGAGTGGTGGTGGTGGTCTGAGGAGAGGTGGTGTTGCTGGTGTCCTGGCCCTCCACCACCGCTGCCGCTGCCGCCGCCGCCGCCGCCGCTACCGCCAGCTGCTGCTGCTGCTGCTGCTGCTGGGGGGCTTGACGTGCTTCGCGAGATGGTCGCTGCGCATGAACCGCTTGTTGCAGACCGGGCAGGCGAATCTGTTTTCGCCGGTGTGGGTTCGAAGGTGCCGCTGCAACTCATCCGAACGTGTTAACCGCTTGCCACAGAAAAGCCAGTTGCAAACAAACGGTCGCTCACCAGTGTGCCACCGTAAGTGGGCCTTCAGATGCGACGTTTTCCCGTAGACCTTGCCGCAACCCGGTATGTGGCAGCTATGGATGTTCTTCTTCCTGAGGTGCACGCCGGCGGGACCGAGTCTCTCGGCTTCTTGACAATTCGGACAATCGCAGGTGGCACGTCCGGTGTAACGTCTCTGCGAGCGCGGCGAGGGCGCTTGGCTGACACCGGCGCCCCCGACGCCGACACCGCCGCCGCTGCCCTGAGGGCTTCCGGCACCGGCGCCGGCGCCGGCTGTGGCGGCCGCCTGGGGATGGAGCCCGAATCCGGGCGGCCCACCCGGTAGCATTGATTTGTACGTGTCTTGCAAGAGATTGTGACCGGCCGTCGTAGCTGTGGTTAGCAAATGATTACCGGCCAGCGCTAGGCTCGTCGAGTAGTCGGCCGAGTAATTGGCCATTTGCGCCGCGTGGACGCCGACGCCAACAGTACTGCTTACGTCTAGCCATCCGCCGGCGGTCGCGGCGCCATGTACATCCCACCAACCGTCACTCGTTTTAATTCCGCCGTGCGTCGCGCCTGGCATCGCATTGAACGGCCACGACTCGTACGGATGCCTTCCGTACACTGAGCCCAAAGTCGCGCCTTCGACTTTACCCAGAAGACTACTCTGATGATGATGTGGATCGCCGGCCGGTTGGGCGCTCGCCGTTCCGGGGAAATACAAGTCGCTACCATATTGCGGTGCGGTCGAAGCGCAAGACGTCACCGGCGCCCTGGCGTAACCACCGGTCGTGCTGCCGGCGCTGCTCGTCGCCGCCGGTCTCTGGCTCACTCCCGTCGTTGTGCACCCACCGCTACCGCCGCCTCCTCCACCTCCACTGCCACCTCCCCCGCCGCCGGTGTGTTGTGGCGAGCTGCCGCTGCTTTGTGGGCTCTTCTTCCAAGGGTGGAAACCTTTGCCTACCGCTGCGTCCGCCAATGGCGGCGGGCTTTTACTGCTTAGTTTGTTGCATTGCGCCGCCAGCATGGCCAAAGGCGTGCCTCGTAATCCTGGATGATCCTGTAACATCATCATAAAATCTATTCTTATTCTTTGATCTATATTTTGCTGCGAAAGAAAAGATTTATTGCTTGTCAATATCTTTTGGCATTTTTTATCTTTGAGCATATATTGTCGTACGACGCGATGTATAATTCAATTTCAACCGTATATTACGTTGCCTTTACATTTACTTTATGATTTATGTTTATAAAGAATTATAAATACGAAAAATTTTTTTTATTAAGGACATCTAACAAATGTTTACGGACATGCACGACCTCGATTTACAATGTGCTAACTGAACAACGCTCGCGCACACATTACCAGTTCTTTTCAGAATTTTTAACATCGGAAGCGCTCGTTATGAAGCAATTTCGTCATACGATTACGCAAATCGGTAATAACAACTCTGAAACGAATTACGTATCACGCGTATCGATTCATGGGACTATCAAGATACTTTTTCGTGCTAGCGCGGTTCGTAATATCGAAATCTGGCGGTCGATGGACGCCCATAATCACCCCGCCGCGTCTAAATCGATCTAAAAAGAAGCCCCGGTTCGGGCTCAGGTCCTCCAAGGAGAGAGAAAGAGGAAAGTCTTCCCCTAAGGGCGTATAATGACACTAAATTGCCGTTCCTATCCTAGAAGAGATCCAAGATTAGTCGCTGAAAGTAATGAGACCCGGATAGACCAATCGCTCTACCTAGACCGCTTTCATGCAAATTGTTCTCGAATCAAGCACAAGGTCGATGTACGATTTCCATGATACCATATTAAGCGACCCAAAATAACGTGGGAAACGTATTACGATCTTGGAAACAATAAATACGTAGAACATCAGGATCAAATCGGTTAAGATATCACGTAAATAATACGACCAGCAACGAGATAAGAATTATAATTTGTAATAGAAACGTGATGAGAACTCTTGATGCAAATTGAGTAAATTCAATAACGACATAATTTGTGTGTGAATCTCTTAGCAGATTTCAATAAGCCTTCCAATTCTGAGAAACTTGCGGAGCAATCATGCTCTTTCGCGCACACGCGGCGCGAGGAATTAGAGGGAGCACAATTTGTGTGCGAGCTAAAAATTAGAGCGAACGGCAGAAGCCGACTGAAACTTTAGATAACGAACTTCATCAAAAGCAACTCCATGCAAATCGCTCGCGGGGTTAGCGCGGGGGTGAAAGGACAAGGAGAATGTCGGCTGCTACCGAAAGGCCGGAGGCTGAAGAGGAGAGGTCCCGAAGCAGATTTGGACGTGGAGAGGTAAAAGTGAGAGGGTCCGCGGAAGCGGCAGGAAATTAAGGTCTGGAGGGCCGCGCGGCCATTAGCAGCCGGCGCCATGGAGGCGACACGCCCCCACGTGGATTCAACCTTGCGCCAGCAACACCGGCGAAAGACAACGAACGCGCGCACCCTTCTCAGGATGAAAACGACGTGAGAGAGAGAGAGAGAGAGAGAGAACGAGAGGTGAAAAAGCGGGGGAGGGGGGGGGGAAGAGAGAGGAAAAACGGAGGAGTCGCAACCGCACTGCGCTCGATCTATCCTCCGAAGAGAGCCAGAGTTCTGCTTGGTTGCCCCGATCATTCATCAACGCGTACAATAAATGTCCCGCTCATATTTCTTCGCGGTAACATGACACATTGTTGTATATGGTCGTTATTTAGGATATGCTCGTGTACGAGCACCGTTTCAAGGCTTTCCGAGTGATTTACAGTGTCGTTATTTTTAACGCAAAAGTAATAATAAAATAATCAAGTGTTAGAGTATGGATAAGTAAAAAAAATTTATATCTCGAGGACGTTACAAATCGAACGAAATACCTATAGTTGTTTACGTTTGAACGATGAAACGTCGGAAAGTATCGAGAGTTATTATTCCGAGAAATCTCCAAATGCAGGGTGATTGCTCCCCGTTACAATGCTCTCGACGAATGGGAGCGCTCGTTGACGCGGAGAGTACGTCGTAGAGGGTGACGACTGGCACGAGAGAATCGCGGAGGGTTGAAAGGACGAAATCGTCTCTCCCGCTTTTACGTCGAGAGGGAGGCGGAAGGTTTAACACGGCGGAGATCGCAACGGGGTTGAGTGTCTCTCCGCCGGTGTACGAGCCACGCCCTCTTCAAGCTCGATGAGTGCAGGTTGTAGGCAGGCCACGTATCGATCCGCCGGGACAATATGACAGTGGCCTGCGGAGACAACGACGTCCCTCGATCAGCTCCCTCCTCACACAGTCTCCACCGCTATATCCTACGCGTGGATACACGCCCTCCATGGCGCGTCGCGCGCGTTAACCATCTCACAATCACGATTCGCAGCTATTTTGTCATCTTTTGTTTGCCGCTTCTTGAAGATATCTTCATAGTGAAATAAGTTTTGAGTTATCAACCTCAAGTTCGAAATAATTGCAAGAGATTCGACCAAGTAAGTAGGTCAGCGGAAGTGTGATGATCGTGTAGGTAGGTGAAAAAGTGTGTAGTAGAAAATTGACGGAACGTAAAGAGTGCCGAACTACTCGACATCGGCGAGGCCCAGGTCCCTCGTACCCTCCTGTCGGCACGGTTAAAAGGGAGCCGACGTGAAATGGGCACCGGTAGGATCCTTTGTTTTAGCCGCGTGACGTCACGCCCCTCGTAGCCAGCTAGGACTAATAATGCCTGAAGCTACGCCGCGCATAAATTAAAACGAAGAATCCTCGCTTGTCTCGCCTCGTCCCGTCTGCGTCGGCTCGAATCTTTTTCCGAGAACTCATTCGCGTCGAGGCGTCGCACGATTGCTTTCCGACTGACCAGGCCTCGAACGTGCCAGGAAGTATCGACCATACGAGATCGTTAATGAGATCGGTCACTCGACACCCAATGCAACGCGGCGCCGGATGGCGGAAAATAAAGCGGAAACGCCGGCGATCGTTCGAGTACGAGCCACGTGACAGCTGAATGCGAGGGAGGTAAAAGACCCGACAGCGAGGGTGCGAAGCAACAAACCGTGGGGTGTCTACCGGTCGAGCTTCGTGGCGAACCGCATCCGACGTCCGTGTCAAACTTTTATTCCCCTTTCAGCCTGAGGAGAACCCTCGTTCGCACATCAGGCGAGACATGCGTCGACGATCAGTACTTTATGCATACACGCTAACGAAATCCTAAACATCGAGAATTCTACAGTAAAGATACAAATAATTCTCCCTTTTAAATATAGGACAAAAGAATTTTTCTTTTCTAAAGGCAAGAAGACATTTCTTTTGTTTACAAATTTTAATTTGTACCTTTTCAACTAAAACACAAACCCTTTGGGAAACGAATTAGAAATTTATTTCTGCTATCAAGTCGTTGTCATCGAATTAGTCGGACAGAGACAATTAAACGAACAAACGAAGCCGCGGAAAAAGGATTGCTTCGTGCTCCATAATGGAGCGCCGCGCAAAATTAGTCGGCGCTCTTTTCTGCTTTCGGTGTAAAAAGTGTCGGTCGTTCTCGAGAGCCATTGACCGCGATCTCCAAGCACCTGCCGAGCCGGCATGGTCGAGTTTCTGATTGGATCCACCTGCATTGAGCATCCACCAGCCAGTAGTATTGACTAACTACATCATCAAAGCCTTTGCGTATTTTAATTTCTGATTTTGTATGTCTAACTGAATCACACTGGTCGTTATCCCTATATCATATACACAGGTTTTTTTTTATCCCTTTGCCATCTTTATACGGACCGTCCAAAACGATTTAATTACAACACTATCTTATTTCATTGTGAAAGTAAATATTAATATATGCTAATGTTGGAAAGATTATTTCTTCTAAGTCGATATCTAATAAAACATAATAACTATATATTTAAGAGTAATCGTTTATATTTTGAAATATATTATGATTTCAAGATATTTAGATTTCAGGAAAAAACCTGAATTTACTTCTAAAAATGTAATCCATTTCATATTTGTCACATAATATACAGTTATAACATTTCGTGCTACGAAAGAACCTGGCAAAAATTATTCACAAAGTACGTATAACATCGTAGATAAGTAATGTAACTGTTATTACCATGCAAATTATAACGTGTTACAGATACGGTGTATACCATCGAATTATAATTTAAAATGGTATTATTACTTCTGCCTCGAACGATCTCGTTGGCATTCTCTTTACAACCTCGATACGCTTACGCGGACACGCAAAACATTCCGCGGAGGAAAGAAACATACTTAGATCGAGCGGTCGAATTGTTGAGCGCGATTTCCATAGCGCACTAATTACCCGTCCAGGTACAACACGGGCGAAATGTAGCGGGCGGCACGGAATGCACGTTAAACGTGGCCAGGTCTTCGTCGGGTCGAGCACGTTGGGTAAGTACGTCAACGAAGGGTTACGCGAGCCTTCCCTTGGCGAGGAGAGCGATGCCAGCGATAATGCGAATGCGGGTTACTTCGAATGCTAATTATTTGTTTATCAGCCTCCGCATGCAACCACGCCGGCCAGTGTGGCACGCAGCCAGTGTCCCGATAAGAAGCGGTGCCCCTTGAAGCTGTTGCGCGCTAAGGTTATATACGCTCGACTTCGGCCTCGCAGATAATTGCGGCGATTATAAAAACGTTCGCTTTGCCTCGCTCGTCTTTCTCGTTATCGGGCTAGCTGTCGACTTCGATATACTCGTTTCCTACGTCGTTTCCTACGTCGTTTCGTGGCTTCCTGCCTCCCTCTCTCTTTCTCTCTCTCTTTTTCTCAATACTTTGTCCTTTATTCTTCGCGGTTATCTTGAAGTGTAAATTAAGACTTGATACGCATGATTGGGTTCAAAGTACTACTAAATATATATTTATACAATGACCGACGACATAAAAGTATTAAGAACACAAAGTTTAACTAATAGTAGAAATTTCTAATTTGCAGTAATGTTGCGTGACTGCGTAAAACTGCACGTTATGATGATAGCTCGTGAACAGAAAAAAAAAAAAAGAAATAAAAACTTTTTTCCGTTGGTTACAAGACGTGTTATCTGAGCAACCTCATTGCATTTA